CAGGACACTGGCCCTCCAGGACCGAGTTTGGACAGCCCTGGCCTAAAACATCCAAAGTAGTTTGATCAAAGACATGCAGGTATTGTGTATAATCGACCAATCGTGGCACGTGAGAAGGTGAGATCAACAGAGAACGATCAAAGCGATGCTGTTGATAAATCCCTAATCATCTGAGACTTTAACATTCACATTGATAATACAAATGATGCGTTAGGACTTACATTCACAGACTTATTAAACTCTTTTGAATTCAAACAAAATGTCACCAGGCCCAGTCATCATTTTAATCATATGCTAGATTTAATTATATTGCATGGAGTTGATCTTGCTGATATAGGGATTTTATCTCAAAGTGATGATATTACTGACCACTACCTACCACTACCACTATTGTGCATGATATGTATTACTGATATTAACTATATGGCTCCACGTTAACGTCCAGGTAGAACCATTGTTCCAACCACCAAAGATAGATTCACGAATAACTTGCCTGATTTATCTCAACTGCTCTGTGTACCCATAAATACACATGAACTAGACGAAATGACTAGCAATATGGGCACTATTTTCTCTAACACATTAGAAGCTGTTGCCCCCATCAAATTAAAAAAGGTTAGAGAAAAAAGTACTGCGCCATGGTACAACAGCAATACCCATTCTCTCAAGAAAGAAACTCGTAATTTTGAGCGCAAATGGAGAAAAACTAACTTGGAAGTTTTTAGAATTGCGTGGAAAAACACTATGTCCAGGTATAGACAGGCTCAAAAAGCTGCCAAGGCCGAGCATATCTGCAAACTAATAGAAAATAACCAAACCAATCCAAGGTTTTAGATTAACAAATAATCAGACATCACCCGAACTAAATATTCCTTCACAGTTTAATAGTAATGACTTTATGAATTTCTTCACTGATAAAATAGATAGCATCAGAAATACAATAACAAATATAGGATCTACATCATTTTGTAATACAGTTTCATTCGTCGCACCCCAAAGAAAAACTGCAGTGCTTTACAACTATAGGACGAGAAGAGCTAAATAAACTTATCACTGCATCTAAGCCAACAGCATGTTTATTAGACCCTGTACCCACTAAATTACTGAAACAGTTGTTACCCGTAGCAGAAGAACCACTTCTCAATATTATTAACTTGTCGTTATCGCTAGGTCACGTCCCAAAACCATTGAAGCTGGTGGTTATTAAGCCTCTTATTAAGACACCTCAACTAGATCCTAGTGAACTGGCAAATTACAGACCCATTTCAAATCTTCTGTTTATGTCTAAAATTTTAGAAAAAGTTAGCTCAATTGTGCTCCTTCCTGCAAAAAAAAAGACATCTTTGAAGAATTTAAGGCTTCAGGTTTCAGACCCCATCATAGCACAGAAACTGTACTTGTTAAAATTACAAATGACTTGCTTCTTGTGTCAGACCAAGGCTGCATCTCATTGCTAGTTTTACTTGAAATCTTCCTTTTATGTCTAAAATTTTAGAAAAAGTTGTGTCTGCTCAATTGTACTCCTTCCTGCAAAAAAAATTATCTCTATGAAGAATTTCAGTCAGGTTTCAGGCCCCACCATAGCACAGAAACTGCACTTGTTAAAATTACAAATGACTTGCTTCTTGCGTCAGACCAAGGCTGTATCTCATTGCTAGTTTTACTTGATCTTA